GGTCGAATAAATGTCAACCGTGATTCGTCAATTCTGCTGAACAGCCAGTGCGATTGGACAGTTCCAATGGTCAGTAACAAACGGTCGATTTTCAACCGTTAGGTAGATAGTGCTGGTAATAATGGTGCTGCTACCTTGCAGTGATACAACAAAATTACAATACATTTTCTATTACTCGTACGGTAGATAAACATACAAAATCTTATAAAAATGAAGAAATAAAAAAGAAGGTCTCAAACTATATTATATTTATTATTCTTGAAATATTAATCAACATTTGAAAACATTATTTCTTTTATTTCTTCATTTTTATAAAGTTTATTATATTCATTTATCAATTGATAAGACAAAAAGTGTTGTAATTTTGCCGTATCGTTGTAAGATAGCAGCACAATTTGTTTTCACATGTAAAAAATAACCTGGCAGTAGATTCGGTCAGAAATTACCGCGAATCAGCATCGATTGAAAATATAAAAAGTTTAATTAATGTTCTGCCTCGAATTTTATTTTCTCAATTAATTTATATATTTTTTTCTAGCAATAAGCTATAGTAGATCGATCATTACTCGTGCCGATATAATGTGTGGAATATTTTGTTCTATATATCAACCCCAACAAGATTCTGAATCTTCTAAACAGGTGCAAACGTTATGACGAGTTGTTTACATTAAAAAATAAATACTGCAAAATTTGATTAGATCCTAAAATTTTGGAAGATATATAACTATAATTATATCAATTATACAGACTAAAAAATTTTTTTCTACTAGAATGAAACTAAGAAATTGAGAGTTTGAAATTGCATTATTGCGAAATTATTCAATTTTACAGGAACTGCAAAAGAAAGTCGTTATATTCATTATAATAGATAAAGTATAGTAATTTTTTTCCTGATTTATTGATTTAATTTATTTATTTTAGTGGAATATTTGCAAGGATGCAATAACTGCTCGAGGTCCTGATTACTTTATGGAGAAACATTTGACTTTGAGTCATGACTGGCATGGACACTTTGCTGCCTCAGTGTTATGGATGCAAGGATCGAGAATAATGACACAGCCAAGTTTGGATGATAATGATAACTTGTTACTTTGGAATGGAGATCTTTTCTCGGGTTGTTTGGTAAGTAAATCATATATGTATATGGAATATTCCAATTGATGTTTTGAATAAACGTTATTAAAAATTATTTTTAACTTAAGGATATATAGAATGTCCCTCCAATAAGTCATATATAATATGTAAAAATAAAAACATATTATAAATGTATTTTGTAAAAATTATAGAAATGTCAACCCTGAATCCTTCGTTTCTTTTGAAAGAGAAAAATATAGTTAGTGTCAAAACATAATGGGTTTAGTAAATCTTAAATTGTAAGAAATTAATCAATCATAGTTGATTATTCTCTTCACATTCAACTGTGATTGGCCAATATCTTACAGCTTAAATAAAGTTTACTATGTCT